AGATGAAAGAGAAGAGAGTAACATGAGATTCAGTCACCCCATGCCCCACTAAATCTTTATTTATAATGTTTGCTTAGGTTTACAAAGGGAAAAAATACCCTTAATGAAAATAAGTATCCTAAAGTACACAAAAATGATAGAAATGCCACTACACAAAACAAGTTATTGTTTAACACATTGTTCCAAAAGGCGGCTGCCCAGTGCCTAGGCGGTATAGAGGGCATGGGCGCCTTGCCTAGTTGCTTGAGCACCAGCCTAGGTGGGCGCCCATGGCCTGCCCCTCGTTGAGGGAAATTTTTAGGTTCTTGTAGAAAAATAAGAGGGGAAAAATGTGGGGTTTAGGTAATTTAGTACTTTTGATATGCTAATTTAGTTTACTTTATTAGTTCACAAATTACCATTTACTATTTTGTATTAGTACTTTAGTAGTTACTAGTTACTTAGTAATTACTGATTACCATGTCAATTGTAAATTTGTAGTTTGTAGTATTATATATTTATATTAATTAGTTTCATTTGATTTTATTACATTCATACAAAGTACATGAACAGTCTTCAATCAAAGAGGTTCAATGACCTAATCTATGTCAAGTATAATTTATACTTGGAAGGTGAGGTTTGCTAAGAGAGATAAGACAATAACAATTATATTTATAGTTACATCTATAGTGAGGGGGTAAGTGATAGTTCTAATATAAGAACTAGAACTAGTACTAACAGTGACAGTTCTTACCATATAAGAGGAAGATCTAATAATTTCAAGAAAAATAAAAAATAAAAAAATTATGGGTTCAATACGAGAATTGTTATGTATTGAATTATAATAAATTATTTGGGTCTAAAATAGACCCCCTTAGATAAAAAAATATGAATAATGCTATGGAGTGGTTAGTTGATGATAATGAGGTCAAGGGACATGAAGGATTGACATGGAACATAGTCATGGAGGCCTCGGGGACATCAGCCGACCCTCCTATTGCCACTAGATCCTCTTCCCATATGGCGAGGGTGGAGGAGGAAGCAGAGGCAAAATTCAGAAGAGACATATGAGGATGACCATTATGTTGAGGAGGAAGATGATTCTCATGATGATGGCCTAGACTCCGATGCATAAGATCCAGATGCAGCTGACGCTACTTTTTTTGATAATGAGTGATGATTGAAGACTCTTTTGAGTCTTCAAGTCTATATTTCTTTCATTTTTCTTTTCCTCTTGGTTATGTATTGTGGTTAGTAAACTTTCAAGTTTTAACTATGTGTGGACTATGGAATTGGATATGGAATTGGATAGGGACTTATGGAGTATGGAGGAGTGTATGTGGACTTGTGGACTATAGACATTTGATGTGCCCTAACCTTTATGTGTTATATCTTATTTTCTTTCATTTACTTGATGATGAATTGATGTCATGCTAAGTTGCTATCATGATTATGGACTAAAATATGTCTCAATATGTTTTTTTTAATCTTTTACACAAAATTTGACCTTCAAACAACTTCTTATTCTACTGAGCCGCCTAGGTTCTGAGCTCCCGCCTAGGTGCTAACCGGTCTGGACCCCCCTGGCCGCCTAGGCGCCGCTTGGCGCTTTTTGGAACACTACTTTTAACACATATGATTTGATAGGTCATATGTTCTGACAAGATCGATTTTGAAAGGTATGACTACCTTAAAGAAGATGGGCCACAAGAACAAATTTTGACAGAATCAGTCAGTGGATAATGAAAAGTAAAAGGAGACACAATCTCACATGCAAAATGCAGGATGTATCAAGAAAATTAGATTAAATAAAATTAAGAGGCGATGTTTCAAAATTATGAACAGAAATATGGTTTAAAAATGAGCACCTTGAGGAGCCGAAAGGCCCTCGGTGCCCCACCTTGCAGAGGAACCAGGGGGGGGGGGGAGGCTCTAGGTGTCCACCTAAGTGAGCTAGGTGCCACCTAGGAGGGTGCCTTGCACCTTGGCCAAGGCACCTGCCTTCCACCTTGGACAAGGCACTCACCTTGGACTCTCCCTCTTCTTAATCCATGCATTTTGTTCATTTGACCAATTGCTCTCTTTCATAAAATTCACCCAATGTTCTATCTCTTTCTCTGTTTCATCAAACACCTTTGGGCACTCTTTCTGGATCATAGAAACTTTCTTAAAAATGATTTTGTCAATAACATATTTCCCAACTAGTATTAAACGTCAGGACCAGATCCAACACATGCATTTCATCGCATTCTTGTTTGATCGGTTCCAACATATGCATTTCAGTGAACTTTTTTGGTTCATCAACCATATCACCTAATTTCTTCAACCAATCTTCTCTCTCTCTCTCTCTCCCCCTGCTCCGCCCCCACCCCCACCCCCACCCCCACCCCATGAGGCAAAAAAGGTTGGTTACTGAGATCGCCTTACATGGATGGCTCTCCTGCTTCGAGAATGAGATCCTGCACTTGTAGAGTAAGATTGTAGTCCAGCCCTGATCCCAATCCCAATCCCAATCCCAATCCCAATCCCATAAGAGTCCGTCAGCAAGTTAACTAAGACATTTTTTACATTTTTAAAAGAAAAAAGCAATAAATGTTTGCCAACCAAAAAAGAAAGTAATAATTCTTCAAAATATATATTCAGAGATATTTCAAAAAGGAAAGACAGATTCTAAATCTGCATCAAAAAAAAAGAGAAAGCTTTAATTCAATTCTCCCAAAACTGCATTCAATAAAGGGAATGGTGGGTCCTATTTTTTTAGTTAAGATTGACAGCCAAGAAGAACCTAAAAAAAGATTATTTTCGATATTTTTGGTCGATCATTCATGAGAAAGGAGAAATTGAAGAAGATGCTCATAAAATTAGAGTTGGGTGGACGAAGTAGAGATGTGCTTCTGGATATGTGATCGTGGCATACCTAAGAAATTGAATGGGAAGTTTTATAGGACCGGTTATTAGGACCGGTTATTAGACCAGCCATGCTTTACGGGACAAAATATTGAGCAATCCAGAAACAACATACTCATAGAATGAGTGCAGCTGAGATGAGGATGTTGAGGTGAATGAGGGGCAAGACAAGGGAGGATAGAATTCAGAATGAATACATTGAAAGGAACTTAAGGGCAGCTCCAATAAGCCATAAAAATGAGGGAAAGTACTTTTTGGGTGGTATGGTAGTGTATAGTGTGGACCTAGAACAACACTGGTTACAAGGACTAATTTGGTTTAGTGGATGGCTCTAAAAGGGTAAGGGGAAGGCCCAAAGGACATGGATGCATGTATTGATAAAAAATATAGTGACCTATGGTTCGATTGAGCGTATGGCCCTTGATAGAACGGCATGGCGGAACATGATTCATGTAGCCGAACCCAAATAGTTAGGATAAGGCTTGGATGATGATGATGGTGAGTCCAATTTTGTCCCAAATTGTTATACAGTTTTTACCCTTCATCTGTTTCAAAAATTTGTAAGAGAGAGCGCTCTCTCTCTCTCTATCCCTCCCCTTCTACATACATTTTTTTCTATTTATTTGCTCTGACTAAGTCATGCTTTAATTTATTTTAATTGAAATATATGTGAAGCAATGAAGCACTTTTACAAGATTTAATTAGAACATTATCCTGTATTACAATATAAGATCAAATATATATCTTTAGTATACTATTGTAAACTTAATTATATATGAAAAGATTATAGCAAATAACTATGAGTTTGTTAGTCCCAAATTTTGTTTGAGTAAATCTATTCATAAGTATTCCTTATATTAATTTTGCATCAAATTTTTATTTTATAAATTATGATTAATCTTTTAATTTTAAAAAAAATCTCCATTTTCTTATGTTTATTGTACAGGTGCAGCCAAACTAAAGAACTCCTAGCAAAAAACAATGGGAAAGGCTTCTATACTTCCTCTACAACATAGAAGATCTATGCTTCCCTTATCATCCAGCCGTCCAATTTTGATCAAGAGAGCCACTCACCGTTTGATCTTAGATCCGACGTCTCAAAGTATTTTATTTTTAGTTTTTTTTATACAAGTTGTATGAATATGAAATTTGGTACATGCCATCTTCTCATTGGGGCGCACCTGTAAAAAATATTAAAAATAATTTTTTGATAAAATATAATGACCAAAATACCCCTTGAATCTTTCAAGGGTATTTTGGTCATTTAATATTATTGGAAACATTTTTTTATACTTTCACTAGTGCAAGTTTAATAGAGGATTGGAGTACAAAATTTGGGGTTAAAATAATTTTTAGAAAAAAATAAAAATAAAATAGTGTAGAGACATGACATTGTGAATGGGGCAATCTTAGCCCTCCATTCAGAATGGACGGTTGGATAAGGAGAAGTATATAAGTTTTATGCTGTAGGGGAAGCATCGAAAGCTTGCCCAGAAACAATACCCACACCCCAGCTCAAGCTGTGGCCTCTATCAACTATGCTCTTTGAAACCTCCCCCCCAACCCCCCTTTCTTCATGGACCACCTCATTCATGAGACACCGACCTAGGCGGCACCTTCCATGTTTTATGACACTGCACGGCAGAAGGCAGGCCAAATCCAATTATGTACAAACACTGGCATTGAACTTAAACATGTTGTAAACCAGAGAAGATAATGAAGAACATGGACAATGTCGTGAATGTGAAGCATGAGATGCCAAAAATGACTAGAACTGACATCCATATAAATAGAATCATTAATAAGATTGAATAATTTTCCCCCAAGGTTTTGCATGGGATGGAAGAAAAGGAAATAAGTTTTGTCTTTATGCGGGCAAACATGGTTGTAAATATGTTCCTCACCCTGAAAAGTCGCAGCTTTCATTGCACTAAAATTGGGTTAGATGAGCATATTTAATTGATTGCTATATTACATAATATATAAAACTATGAGCACTATGAATTCAAATCCAAACCCAAAGCAAAGGTCATTAAAAAATATTTCAAACCCCTGCCAATCAACATTGAAACTCGGTTTGAGAAGGAAATGGGAACACATGAAAACATACTAACCGGTTTTACACTCTCGAGTAAACGGATGGCAAAAGATGAGGTTCTAAGCCCAATCTTAGTGCATGGGAATAACCTCTGGACTTCATCTCTCTGCATGCAACTATTAACCAGCTCACAAATTCGCAATACCCTTGTTGGGCCATCAGCATAAACCTCATATCCCACCCTAAGCATTTCCAGTCCATGTAAACCACCATCTTTGTCACTTTTCTCTTTTCCTCCCCTTAAATTACGATCAAATGGAAAATGTACAGGTAAACCTTTATTTTGCCTTAATTTGCGGAAAGGTTTCCATGCACAAAGTTTGTCTATGCTAATTTCACGAAACAGCTGGGCATCTACAGACAAAAAGAATAATAGTTATCAGATTTAAATTATTCCAAAAGCAGTATTCAGTACTAGTGAAAAATTCAGCATCACATACTCGACGCCATGTAATACTAAAATAGGATTGGTTATATAAAGCTCATGGCATCACATATTGGAGGTTAAACTTTAAAGTTGTGATGTTGTGAAGTGAAGTAGAAGCAAAAAGGCTAAGCTTCAACAGTCTATAAAACAAAAGAACATTCAATAGAACTATGGAAGAAAGAGACAAAACATTGCTTGGAAAAACATACCAGCAACTTGCACAACTAGTTTATGTAACAATGTGAGATCATCCCAAACATAATCAACAGAACTACCACTGCTTAGAACCTCAAGATCTGTACATCCCTGGACAAATTTGAAAATCTTAATGAAAACACCACACATGATACAAAGTCACAGTAGACAAAAGACAAAGCGAAGAGCTTATATCAAAGTGAATTAAAATGGCAACCTTCTGATAATATGTGACAGACATGTTATGCAAATGATTCTCGATTCGATATGGTAAAATAAAATCTGGCTTCATACGGAAGTGAATAACAATACTACAATCTTCTTCTGCAATATTTATAGCTGCAAATTTTGGTTTATTGATTTCATTCATGTTGCTTTGTGTTGATTGATCAGATCCAAGGGTAAATGGTTGCCTTCTAAACTTTACAAAGAAGTTCCCAAGTGAAGCAACACAAACTGGTCCAGACCACCCCAATCCGATGTCTTTCAGCGAAAACTGGATAAAGAAAAAACTCTCATCTGCATTTCTATGCCTTCTAACAATGCTATCAAAAATGCTCATCTGGCTTCTCTCCCCAGAACCACTGTGCAAATATAGCATCGCTTTTTGTTTATTGTTGACAGAAATAACACCAGCAGCATCATCCTTCAACGGAAGTACAGAAATACTAGTGAGACAATTGAACTCAACATGTAAATTGTAGCAATTTTCAGACAACTGATTAGTAACAAGCTCATGGAAGAAAAATTGAGTACCAAGTATATACCTGTAAATGACATTGACGGACAAAGATATCCTCCTGTGATTCATTAAAAACAACATATCTTGGGACTATAGATACAAGTTCTGCTGGCAAGATCACTTCAGATGAAACTGCCTGCAATGACACTCCCAACTTCGTAATAGCCGTGAATCCTGACTCTTCGGGAACTTCTAAGCATATTTCTGTAAAACCTGATAGCCACTCCAAGTCTAGTAGTGATTCAGATGAATTATCTTCCACGCGTGTTAGAAGCACTCTGTTTGATCTGCAATAAAAAAATATGCATTACCTTTAAATGCTAATCAATCGTGACAAAAGACCTCATTCTTTGCAGCGAATAAAATACATAAATTTATCAAATGAAATAAGTAAACAGCGAGTAGATTCTTCTTTATAAAGGACAAGGTAAAAAGAGTCGGGAGAGCTTTAAAGGGTTTCGCAGCACAAGCAAACTACTCCAATGCCAGTGCTTTGATGACGTGGCTGAGGCATCAAAGAAGTTGAAGTTGAGGATTGCACCATAAAATGCTTAATAAAATGAAAATTCAAGAGCTGGTAGTTACACCAAAGACTCGAGGGTAGATTTGATAACTTCATCGTATATGCTTTGTTACTACAATTCCAGTGAAAAGAAAAATTAACAACTTGTTTTAAAGGTTGCTAGGCCTTACTTCAAGAACCATGACATCGAAGATCCAGGTGGCAAAAGAAAACCATGCTCTAGTGGAAGGGTCATAACATTTCCCCTACATAAAATCAGCAAGGAATCGAATTTTAGAGACCATACGAAAGGAAGGACATGGTATGTGTAGTACGACAGTACGCTATGATATGTGTAGCATGACAGTACACTATGATACCTGGAGAGAGACTTTTGCTTGGATGCAAGACAAAGTAAAGAAAGGTCAGTTACATTCTTGAGTGTATATCTTGTAAAAACTGCAGCCTGCAAAAGAGGGTTACCAGAAAATATATACAACCAGATCACTATGGTGAAAAAGATGACTTTTCCATTGTCACTTTGTGAAATGACAAGTCAAAGAATATTGTCGGTAATAATAGTTAATAAGCAGCATGATCAGCATGAAGATCATAAAGATTGGCCTTAAATTTCGTTCATGTGTTCATCATTAGGAAAACTACACTAAATTTTATCGAGTGTGAAGAAAACCATTGTGTTATGGGAAAGGTTTCTATAATTCTCCTATAGCATAGAAGATCTATGCTTCCCCAACCATCCAGTCGTCCAATTTTGATCAAGAGAGTCACTCACTATTTGATTTTAGATCCGACGTCTTAAAGTATTTTATTTTTAGTTTTTTTTATACAAATTGTATGGA